GTTTTAATTAGCGAAGTGAGCAGAATACACAATTAATTTAGAGCTAGGGCACATTGGATAATTTAGTCTTTTCCTTACTTTGTTCGTTAAAGAGAAAACGTGTTGTGCGAGCTGAGTACGAACTGAGTTGCCTATTCGTCTTCTCTAACCTCTCAATATTCTGTTAATTTTGGTTTCTTTGTTTTTACTCCAGTATAATCTCGAATATCATTGGAAAACGAGTTCTAATAATACTAAGAATAATTTTCGAATGGACAAGAGTACTTTGAGGGCCAACCAGGAAAAAAATTGAAAAAACTATTCGCTATAATTTGGCGTACCAAGAAAGAGAATGACAGTTCCTTCATCAGAGAAAACTGATTTCTTGAACGACAAAATTTTATCTCAAAAAATAAAAAGATATTCTGTAAAATTCTCTACCGGATGAGGTATAACCCGATTTTGTACATTGAGTGGTTATGAACAAATTCAACTCTATGAGAGTAGAGCATCATTACACAAAATTTTCCTTTTTCTTGTTTCATTTATGTTCTCCGAGCATTTTTCTTTCTTTCTACGCTTGAATTAAGTTTTGATGATGAAATACCATCGGAGAAGACCATATTTTAAAGAAAAGTTCGATGTTCAAGAATTGATCTGAATTTTTCAAGTAATTACCTTTTTTACTCAGTCAGATAATGACTGCAAAGTCGAGAAAACTACAAGATATCTACTTCAAAGTGTGATCTACAAACTGGTAAGATGAGAGCGAAATCTAAATGGGAAGACATCCCTTCATTAAGCGGGAAAAGAAGAAAATCTCGAGTTCTTATGTTCTTGGGTAAAATTTTTATAATCAGGAATGTGAATAATTACATTATTTCCCTTCCTCGGTCTCTTTTTTTTCATTCGATATATCGACCTCTTTGTTCCTTAATTATGACATCGACTGCGGCTATATCGTCACTGTCGTCCATCACATTTGACATACATGGTATTAAAATCTTTTTAAAGGGAATAAACTGCGAATCGAAAATCGGAAATCGGTGATAATATGAAAGCTAAAGAAAATACACCTTGTTAGAAGAGATCAACCATTAGGTAGACCATCACGGCTCAAGGAATTAATATACAAAACGAAGCCAAAGTGACGAAAAACGAAACAGTACAGGCAAGAGGTCTGAATGCCGTAGCACAAATTGTCAATGTTCAAACTGAAGCCAAAGCAACGATGAATGACGTAGCTAGAGCCACTGTTGCAAACTGTTACTGCACAGGGTGTTAATGTACAAACCGAAGCAAAAGCTACATATAATCGGACAGTAACAGCAACCGGAATAAATGCATCAGCTCAAGGAGTTAATATACAAACTGAAGCCAAAGTGACGAAAAACCAATCTGATACAGCAACTGGTCTGAACGCCACAGCCAGGGCTGTTCATGTGCAGACCGAGGTGAAAATACCAAACGATAAGAAACTTCCGCTGACTGGTTTTACTGCCGAGGCTAATGGACTTGAAATAAGAAAAAGAGTTCGAATCCGCAAAGATCATGCAGTTCAAGCTAGTGGCGGCAGTGTAAAGGCAAGCGGAGCTATTGTACAGAATCATATCGAAAAAGGTTCTTCTCTTTCTAAACAGTTTAATTTGAATACTTCATGTTCATACTTTAATTGTTGATATAAATCTTGAAGAAAGAAGCCAAATATGTATGCTGTAACAATATCTTTTTGACGTAGGCCTCTGTTTAATAAACTGTATAAAAATGAGTCTAATGTATACCACTCAATAGCGTTATTCGGTTGATAATCGCGTTCAAATTCTTCCAATGTTTTTAAGTGACTCTCCGCACAATCATAGTGTGTTTTTAAAAAATAAATCAGAAATTCTTTTCTACGATCTCGATATGGAATATAACATAAGAATTCAATAAAAAATATCCACCATGAATGAACATTTTCTGTTGTAAAATCACGTTCTTTCCTATCATCGAAAAATCGCTCTTTTTCTCGTTTTAGATATTTTTGCACATCATTTCTTAGAACATTCAGTAATTGCTCATTAATTGATATGTATTTAGTTACTTTAGAATAATCTGATATCCATTGCTGCTGATGTTCTTTATCAACAAAATAAATATAAATGGATTGGATGCTTTCAAAATGATGTATCTGCGGTACAATTATTTCGGCATATTCAAAAGAGGTAACAAGAAATGTTGTTAAATATTTTGTTCGTTCAATATAATCTTTGCATGCTTGCGTATTGTCAAATATTTTGGTATAATGAACGAGTTTACGTAATTTTTCAACTATAATTATCATTTCATTTTCACTGACATTGTTATACAACCATACCAGTTGACATGAATCCAGATTAATTCGTCTAATACATTAATAGATCTTGAAAAATAGCGTGACATATTGGGGTCGGTGCATCAGGTGTACGGTGGCACCGATGATTCACCGTCACTGGTGCATTCTTAGCTACAACAAATTCATAGTATAATATATTCTATTTCCTCATTCTTCTGTTACTGATCAAATGATTCTGGCGATATGCTTTCTGGCATGTTTTTCTCTTCTAACGCGCTCGCAGAATGTATGAATGACGTCTTTTTTTACGCATTATGTCAATAAATTTTTTCACTTTATGCATTCTAAATGCGAGCAGAACAAACAAGAAATATACTTGACGTTCAAGCAAACAAACAAACTACTGCATACATGCTCTTTTTTTTTACTTTCAGTCTTCATATTTTAACGCTTTGAAAAATAAAATTTCAGATGGGTTGCCATTCTAGTAAAAACTTAATTTCAGTGACCAAGACTACCATTAAGAACATCGATACAACGCTAACAACAGCTGCCTCACCCTTTGAACGAATTAATCTGGAGTCATGTCAACTGGTATGGTTGTATAACAATGTCAGTGAAAATGAAATGATAATT